GATCAGACCGCTTCCTCAGCCTAACTGCTTGATCAAATCCATGCGCGCCATGCCCGAAGCTTATTTCCACTTCTCCAGGCCCCCCCTACACTACCTACCTCACCTTACAGTGTTCCTTCGCACCTTTCAGACAACCATAACATAACATCACTTCTACATCCCACCCTCTCCTCCTTAACTCCTCGGCATTTACGCTACTATCCAACTCTGCCCGCTTCTGCTCACACGTACTCCCGTACTCTTCGACGTCCTACCGCACACACGCCAAACGTCTTCTCTTTCATACCCGCACCACTCACCACGCAGAAGAGCAATAAACGGCGTTACGACAGCGACGAAGACGACGACGACAACGACGACGACTACGTAGGCCGCGAATTGACGAAACGCAACGAAGGGATTTCAAGCAGTCGAAAAGCAGCAAGTCGGACCGAACGAAGAAGAGCCCCAGAAAAAAAACCAAAGCAGAATATTAATCACCCCCGACCCGCCGACAGTCTCCTCAACCCAGGCCCAGATTTTCCCTGTGTTACTGTGTTCCCCCACAGAACTTTGTCTGTTGGAGCACCTCGAATGGCCTACCCCACCTGACACTGATTCACAATGGTGAGTTCGAACTGCGATTCCCATCATCGCCTATCTCCGTCGGGCGTCGTCCTGTCTTGGCTTGGTGTTTAGTGAACATCAACGTCATCGTTGTCGACCATCACGGTCGTCCATCGTGGCCGTCGCACACATGTACACTAGATCTTGGGGCACTTGGCTGTCCTCCTGTCGTGGAACATCATGAAGAGCCTCACCATGTCGCCGTGACCCCGCTAACGTTCTGTCGTCACACAGCCCGTTGCAAAGGCTTGCGCGCCGTGCTACTACCAAAAGTCAAAATGCACATTCTCGGAGGGTAACCCACAATGCGACCGCTGTCTGATGAATGGCCGGGATTGCGTCTTTGTGCGCCCCGTGCCGCGGTCCGCCGTTAAGGGCCGCTCAAAAGTCGCCATTCGGAGCAAGATCATGGGCCTTAACGGCAACGTACCATGTCCGACACGAAAGCCCAATATCGCCTCGACGACGACGACAACAACGACGACAACGACCGCAGCGAATTCCACGACATCGGCCGTCGCCCGCGTCAGCCCGGCGCCATGTCCATCGTCGCGAAAACCCAGCATAGCGTCCGTGTCGAACAGGGGCGGCAGCCCGCCTGAAGACTCATCATCAGACTCGTCTTCCGACTCAGCCTCCAGTCCACCCTCGAAGATCCTCGATTCTCTTAGCCCGTTTGGAAGCACGCTGGGTCGGTTAGACCAGGTGGAACGGTCAACGCTGTCGAGGCTGCTACACAAATCCAACTTCATGCAATACTTCATAGGGCCGACGTTTGTGGACAGCATGCAGCTCGACATGACAGTCCACTTGTTCTCCATGTTCGACCAGGGTAAAGACGCCTACATCGCCATGTACAGCGCCTTTGCGGCAACGATGGGATTGGATACAGGGGAGTACGATCCAGAGGCAAACCTGCACCGGGGAGCAATGGCCGTCGAGTCTCTGCGGTCATGTCCGTTGCCAACGCTGAAGCGCGAGGAGCTGCTGCCGTGGGCAGGCCTGGGACTGGGCATCGTGTACTTTTCCAATATGGCCCTCGGCACGAGCGCGGCACCAGTGCGGCGATACGTCCTCAGCCACATCCGTCATCTGCTGGGGACCTCTTTGATCTCCAGCGAGCGGACACACTACATCCTCGTCTTCATGACGGCCGTCGACATCAACGAGTGCCTCATGCAGCGCGAGCTACCAGTCTGCGGCATCGCGCCCCCGGTAGAAGGCCACGTCGACGCATACCTCGGCCTCTGCATGCCACTACTGCAACACATGTACGAATTGAGCAGGATCAGCTACAGCCTCTACCACGAGGTCGACGTCGACGAGCAGAAACAGGCACTGGACGACGTTGAGCAGGAGATTGAGGCGTGGCAACCACATATCCCGCCAGACTTTACGAACCGCTTTACCACTGGCGAGGTCATTCACATGCTGGCACAAAGTCGCATCTACAAGACAGGAGCGCTCCTATTTATCCACAGATTACGGTACAAGTTTGGCGAGAAGGACGACATGGCGTCGGCCATGGCGAAGAGCATCATGTCGGACCTGAAGATGACGATGACCGTGTCGCAAGACACGCAGCGCTGCGTCAGCTTCCCCTTTACCCTCGCCGCCATCGAGGCGCGCGACCAAGCCGAGAAGGACACCGCGATGGAGGCCATGAAGACCCTCATCGACAGCTGCAACACCAAGTACCGTAACAACATGGAGGCCTTCCTCAAGGCGATGTGGGATGGCAGGGCAGCGAGCCCCGGCGTGTCATGGCTGGACCTCGTACCAAACGTGCCGCCGATCTCGGTGGGCGTATGAGAGGCCCATCCCTGCAAACTTTACAACCGATGAATTTTCAACAAGAAGCAACTGTTTTTAACACCAGGCGAGACGGCGGATCAGATATCACTTTTGTTCATGTAACGGCTGAACGGGCTATACTCTTTTTATTTCTCTTATTTACAATCATGTATGACGCAAGCAGATGATGCTTGACGCTGTTTTTCTTCTGTTTACTAAGGGACTCTGGCGACTTGGATGATAGCACCTCGTCATGACGTCGAGGGCCAGATGGATTTTGTCAGGCGTGCAGTGCGGTTGGTGACCGCGGGTTTATGGAGCATGATGGGTTTTCCACAGCATGGCTCAAAAAAGGGAAACGGGCTCTTCACACTGATTTTGCTGTTCTTTTGCTCTAGAGACCACTGACGGGAATGTTCACACGGTCTGGGTCAAACCTTGGCAGCCCACGGGAAAGGGATTCGGGCGATGGGGCTACGACGAGCTAAACCCAGGAATTTGTGATACCATTCTCTCGTTTCAATATCGAATACAGATCTCCACAATTGCTTTGTGTTCAATCAGTCATGACCGCGCTCTAGAAACACCATGAAGGAAAAACTCGTGATCGGGCTCAACGTCCGAACCCTCTTGGCCCTGGTGCCTGAGTACCACGATAATAGTGCCCAAAAGGATCTACACACGCTGCCCGCACATTGATTTTGGCTGTGGTGGCACTTTGGTTTCATGCCAGCATCGGTCCTTGGGTGCGCCCAGACGTCGCATGAAGTAGGCCCATGTGCGACGGTGAAAACTTTCCTTGAGTGCTGCTCACCCTTCCCACCACACACTCCCTAATAGGGACATACTGGCGCCCTGCAAAGGTTATGTTTCTTCAGCGGGTGGCTGGGGACTGGAGTACGAGGAAGAAGTGTGGTACGGCGACTCGTCCCGCATTGGATGGCACCACATGGCACATGCTGGGCAGAAGTCGCTGTTTGCGTTTCACTTCACATGAGGGAGGGACCTTTTTCCTTTGACGACTTGTCATCTGGTCGCGGAACTAGCTAATAGGCGGTAACAAGTTCACCAAAAGAAAATGCTTTTTGCAACGGAGATGGGAGCGAGATCTGGATCCACCAGAGGCTGAATCTTAGTTTGGCCGTCGTCTTATGAAATTGTGAGAGTCTCGCAGAGATGGCATTGAGCGAGCGACCAGCATCGGAAAACACCGAGCTTCTTCTTTCGGGGCCCATTACCAAAGGGAGATATTCGCATCCGGATGGAGGGACTTGGGTCGTTGATGCAACATATTTTACTTCTCCGGTTTACGTGATAACGTCGGAGTAAAATATGCAATAACACATCGCTTAACGACCTGGATGGCAGCGCGACATTCAACGATGGTCGGGGTCCCTGCCACACGGGAAGGCATCGGTTGAGTTGAGGAGAAGGATGGTCGGGAAGAGGGGGACTTTGTCGCGATGGAAAAGAATCGACGATTTGGGGCGGGGCCGCAAGTCATTGCACTGAGTCGGTCGGGGTGATCCCGCCATGTTTGCGATGAGACGCGGCCAGTCTCTCGGAGATTTGATTACAATCATCCTTCGTCGTCGTGACATTTTGGGTGTTCCTGGGACAGATGAACCTTAAATTCGTCGTTACACGAGAGCAGCGGTTCGTCGACAAGCCATGCCTCGCATCGTGAAAGCAGACTACGATGGGCAAGTGGTGCCGAGGCATCGCATCGCGACGGTGCGTCTCGACCCGCGGAGAAGGTCGATGCGGCGGTATCGAGATCCCACCGGTTGGATCGTAAAGTGTTCTGCAGATTGAGCGTTGCCAAAGATAGGATTCATAAGCATAAAATATACGGATCTCGCAGATTGGCCGGTGGGAGAGTTGCCATGAACGATCTCACCGTACGGAGGAAACTGCCTGCTGCTGGTGCAAGTTAGTTACCCAGCGGGTGGCAAGGCAGCCCTCAGAAAGAAAGAAAGAAAGGGTCCAGATTCCCGCCCGTCAGCAAGAAAGAGACCAGAGACATCAGACACGTGGAGGCGGAAGTTGGCAGGGTGTTCGACGCATTCGGGGACCACGGGGAAGCTTAAAGCGGTTGTGAGAAAGCTTGTTGACGGACGCTTGCGGACGGAGCGTACTCCGAGCCCATTCCAAAGGTCCTAGCGGGCGTTCAAGCGCTTACGAGGACGATGAATGAATCCTACACGCAGGGCCCCAGGGGACTGGACTTGTGTGTGACTGACGTGCGCACATGTTTGGCGTAGGGGGGGTGGCCTATCCTTCAAGGGGGAAGGATTCTCTCTCTCTCACTCTCACAGACGCACACGACTGATTCAGTCGCCGCCCGTCGCTCTTTAAATCCGAAATACGCGAGCCATTCGGGTGGAGAAGTGGCTTCGGTCTCGGCGCTTCCATGGCCGCCGAGGCCGAGGCTGCAATGTCATCGACATAGTCCCAGTCCGCTCGCTCATCTTGGAGGAGGCGGATGGCGATTTGCTGTAATCTGTTCAAGCCCCCCAGTCAGTCAGTCCGTACTGCGTGTTATCAGCAGAGCCAAGACGGATTCAAATTCACATTCTGTGGTGTGGGAAGCAACGGCCATGTCTGATCCGGCCTTGTCCACCACCATCGGTTCCAACGCCATGGGCCCGGATTCCTCCTCCACCCCGACGGCCCCGCGACTCTCGCCCGCGGAGGGCTCCGAGACGCCGCGCCCGCCAGGCCAATCACACATCGCTGCCAGCGGCAGCGGCATCGGGGGAGGCAGCGGCCGAAAGATAGAGCGCTCGTGTAACCTGTGCCACCGGCGCAAGATCCGCTGCGACAAGAAGTCGCCCTGCTCGTCGTGTGCGCGCGGCGGGTTCCCGTGCTTTTATCCGCAGGCCGGCCAGCCGATCCGCCGGGTCCGAAAGACGACCATCGCGGACGTGGCCAGCCGGATCTCGGACCTGGAGAAGACGCTCACGGCGGGGGTGGGGCGGGATCAGCTCCGGGTCAGGTCGCCGCCGGTCGCGTCGTCGTCGGCGGATACCCCGGGGCTGGGTGGTGTCTCGTCGGGGTGGGATACGGGGAGGTCTGTATATGACAGGCCGGCTACAGCGCCTTCATCTGGGTCTCATGCGAAGAGCCCCGGTGACGAGATTTTGGTGAGGAAGGGAACGCAGAGTCAGTACTTTGATGAGGTGCTCATCTCACGGGTTATTGAGGAGGTAAGATGCCGCGCAGTGTGTTCCTTTCTGATGAACGCGCGACTGACAGGGCGAACTCAAGGAACATGAGATCCAGTCAGTATTAACGACGCCAGGGAGCGACCCAGCTCCGCAGGCGGCGCCGTCACCATTCAATCCCATGGGTATCTTGTCAAGTCCAGATCTCAAATTAGATCTGACAGAGCTGCTCCCACCCAAGTGGGGTGCGATTGAGCTGTGGAAGAATTACGCCGAGAACATTGAGCTGTGTAACAAAATCATACACAGACCGACGGCGGAAGTGTTGATCTACACGGCGATAGACGACCCTGCCAATGCTTCCCTCGAGGCTCTGGCCCTCATGTTCTCCGTCTTTTTCGTGTCTACTGTCGTGCTTGACCCAAGTACGATCCAGAAGATCACCGGAGAGGATAAAGTGACCGCTCTTCACCGATACAAGACGGGTCTAGAGCAAGCATTCGCCAAGGCCGACTTTCTGGAGCATCCTTCTGTCAGGCTTCTGGAGGCGTTGTCTGTCTACTTGGTAAGTGGCATCTCATGTTGTCATGAGACTGAACTTGAACTAAGATGATACTCTAGGCAGCCCTTCGCATACACAATCCAGGCCGCGGCCTGTGGACCCTAAACGGCCTCGCCATCCGAGCCGCGCAGTCCATCGGCCTGCACCGCGACGGCACGCGCCTCGGCCTCTCCGTCTTCGAATGCGAGATCCGCCGCCGGCTGTGGTGGCATCTCGTCGCCCGCGACGGCAGGGCGTCGGAGGACTACGGCATCCAGAACCCGACCTGCTTCAACCTCAGCGTCGGCGTCAACTACCCCTCCAACCTCGACGACAACGACCTGTACCCCGAGATGAAGGAGCTCCCGCCGCCGAGGCCCGGCTGGACGCCAATCACGCTGGCGCTGATCAACATCCAGATCTCGCGCGCGTGGCACCGTCTGGCGGCGATTGCGTCCGAGTGGAAGGAGAAGCCCGTCCCGGAGTCGGTGCGGACGCAGATTGTGGATGAGCTGAGGGACTATGCGGAGGGGTTCCTGAGGCACTGTAACCCTGTTATCCCGCATCAAAGGCAGTGCTTGCTTGTGGCGAGGTTCATCATTCGGAAGGTTGACTTGGTGACGAGGCAGCAGTGGCTGAATTTGGAGCACCCTGAGGCGAGGGAGTCGTTCGCTACAGAGGAGAATCTGTTGCAGGCGTTGGGTATCCTGGAAGACGGGATGAGCCTCGCGTCGGATGAGTTGTTGAGGCCGTATCGCTGGAGCATGAGGGCGTATCCTCAGTACCACATGATTCTATATGTTCTGTGGCATCTGTGTGTGAAGCCCGAGGGGCCGAACGTGGAGAGGGCGTGGAAAGCGTTGGAGTACTCGATGGATCATGTAAGGAATGTCGGCACTGGATCGGGCCCGGCTGCGAAGATGACTGTGCTCGAGGCGTTACGAGAGAAGGCTTTGGCGATCCGCCAGGGTATTGCTAGTGGTGGGGAGAAGGAGAAGGAAAAGGAGGCGTATCCCACACCTGGAGCTACCGATGAGAGGTCAGAGGTTGAGGGCGCGGAGGGGGTGTTGGACGGAATGAATGGGATGAATGGAGTTGATGGGATGGATTGGAATACCGTCATGCAGGACTTTCCGGATTGGAGCACATTGATGACGGAGTTTCAGATGGATGGACTGGCTTTTCCGAATTTCCTTGACTAAAGATTCCCCTCTCCTAGCTACAGTGGAAAGCATTTGAATTATCACACGCAGTATTCAGTGAAGCGCATCTTCCATGAGAAATAGGCGCCAAGTGATCGATCAATGCCATTCGCAGCCAGAGAGTTTACGCAAGATGAGATGACTTCCGAGTCCAACACTCATCTGATGCCAGTACTAAGATGAGAGCATTTGTGTTCCCAACCAACAGCCAAGTGCCCCTCATAATATGCTTAGCAAATACTCCGATCGGGATCAAGGGTGCCGAGATAGCGTCGGGATGTGTCCGACATCACCTCGTCAAAAGGGCGCAGACATGCCACATTCGTGTCTTCATTGTGGACTTTGATGATGCGAGATCAAAGAGGGCCTCTGGATTGGCTGCTGCAGAATCCTGAATCTGCAAGTCTACTATCTTGACCCCATTATCAGCAGCCAAAGCAGACGAATGGTGCGGCGAAGAAGACGGTGCGGGGTGTCCGAGGTGTATCACCATCTCTGGTCGATATTGCGTCAGGCCGGGTTCGGCGCCGACCCACCCCCAACCAACGTTATCTCCAGACCGGAGCCGGTGCGCCCCAGAGCCTCCGGGCTATTGATAAAGTGTTGGACCCCGATTCTGCAATTGTGTCTTGCATTCGCGTGGCTAGTGTGCATGTTCTGCATTGAGAAAGTTTATCATCGGCATCATGGGCACAAGCGAACAGCTCCAAGTAGCCATCGTCGGCGCTGGCATCGCCGGCTTGACGTCGGCCATTGCGCTGAAGTCGCATCCTGGTATCAACGTCCAGATCTTTGACAAGGCGAGGGAGCTGCGAGAGGTTGGCGCGTCGATCGCGCTTGGCCCGAACGGGTTGAGGACGCTGGAGAAGCTGGGGATTCACAATGCGCTGGACGATGAAATTGCGTTCCGCAATAAATCGGGCTATCCCATGATCTACCGGTGAGCACAGTCACTATTCTTAACGTGGATATGTGCTTATGAAAAGAAGTCACTACAAGACCGGAGAAATCGTTTCAGTTGACGAACATCACGGCAATGTCGAGCCTCGCCACAAGACAGCCCGCTTCCACCGGCCACACCTACAACAAGCGCTTCTCAAGCACATCGACCCCTCCCAGATTCACCTCAACAAAGCCTTCTCAAGTATCTCAAACGACGACGTCACGGGGAGACTCAACATCACATTCACCGACGGCACTTCCACCACGGCAGACATCCTCCTCGGCGCGGACGGCATCCACTCCGGCGTGCGGAGCTTCTACGTGCCGTCGTCCCGGTCAAAGTGGACCGGCTGGACGGCCTTCCGCGCCGTGTACCCCATCTCGCACCTCGCGCACATCCCCGACGTGCCGGACGAGGCAGAGCACTGGTGGGGCGTCGACCGGACGTGGTTCATGTCGAAGCTGGGCCGGGACTTGTTCTGCATTGTTGCGTCGCACCAGAGCGACCCGGACGCGAGCGATGCGCTGTACAAGGACACGGTGTGGAACACGGACAGCGATGTGAATCTGCTCAAGGAGCATTACAAGGACTGGCATCGGCTGGTCAGGGAGATTATCGATGCCACGCCGGCGGATTCGTTGAAGGTGTACCCGAATGCCTCGGCGCATGGGCTGGAGAGCTGGGTTCTGGGGGAGGGGAGGGTGACGTTTGCGGGCGATGCGGCGCATGCGCATGGTGGCGCGTTTGCTGCGGGTGGCAGTCTAGCTATTGATGATGCGTGGGCATTTACGACTGCTATTCAGCATGTCTATCCTCCCGGAGCAGAGGCGCTGCCATCATCAGGGGATATCGAGAGGGCTTTGAGGTTGTATGAGAGGACGAGGAAAGCGCATACGGATCGCGTGCTCGATACCGTGCATTCGACTAACAAGAAGAAGGTGGAGAGGGTCGGGATTGTTGAGACGGATGAGGGACTGAGGGCGAGGATGAAGAATCGGGTTGAGCCTGTTTGGATCCATGAGCATGATGTCGAGGCCGTGTTCAGAAAGGTGCTGGAAGACGAGAAGGCGAGTGAGAGGACGACAGAAGCTCCACCTCCAGTGCAGATAGAAAGTCGACTGTAGATGTCGCACAATGATAGAAGAATTTGAAGCCCGGGATGACAGTTATTTGAGATATCTGTCGTGCATGCATTTTCAAGTCATTATGCTTGGATAGTACGGACCTTAAGCCTTACCTTAATGTCTCGTAACAAGCCCGTGCTCAGTAAGGGACCTCAAAAAGACGGAAGCTTTACTAAACTGTGTCTATTAAGCCTCAATATTATCCTATTATGATATCATGAGAAGACTTTTTGGTGAGTAGAAGGGTTTCTAAGTAAAACTTAAGGTTGAGGCGACTTCATTATCGTACACAGGTGTCCGTTCAGACCAAGTGGGATTAAAGGTAGCAATTGAACTTAACTCTCTTGAGGATACGCATCTTCCAAATAGGAATCTTCTGAATAGGCCCTAGATAACGTGCAGAAAAACTGGGCAGCACAAGATGTCCCCATTCCCTCACTCTCTAATTGTTTATCACATAAAAACAAATACTCACTGCGAATTAGGGCGTGAAACTCCTCATAGATTAATCAACTTTTTAGGTTAAACAGGTAACTTAAGCTACCCTAAATAAGTAGATCTATAATATAGGTTAATATTAAAATACTATATATATATAAAATAAGGTATTTACTAAGGTAGTAATAGCTAATAAAGCTTACTAAGACTATATTACCCCTTATAAAAGCTATTAGTATTAATTTTACTTTCTTACTAGCTTTTTTTTAAATAATACTAATACTTTAATCCTAATAGAGAAGTTAGTAAGCTAATAGATAACTATAAGTAGCTTATTTATAGATACTAAATTAAGTAACTTTAAGGTTTAATCTAATAATAATAATATTATAAAAAGCTAAATAAGTAATCTTAACCTTAATATATAGCTAAGTAATATATAACTTAATAAAACCTAGCTTAATAACCTTTTTAAAAATACTTAGCTTAAAAGCTAAGTTATTAATAATATTAATAATACTTAAGCTAATAAAAGTATTAAAGAGGTTAATAATATTTAAACTAATAAATTAAAGCTTAAGAAGTTAACTTAACGCCTTTACTATATTAAGAAGTTCTTTAAGATCTACTTAATATTTTAGTAGTAAAGTAAGCTTTTTATTATAAATAATAAAAAGATAGTATATAAGTTAGCTTTTATTAAAATAGTTAAACTAATAAACTTAGCTTTCTCTACTATAATTAATTAGTTTATAGTTATTAACCTTATTACTAAGTTTATTAATATATACTAAAAGTATTAATAAATCCTCTAGCTAATTAATAAGTTAAAAGCTAGCTATAATAATAATATAAATAAGATTAAAGTTATTAACTCTATATAGGATAACTAAGTTAGAAAAAATCTAAAATATAATAATATATATTATATTAATATACTATATATATATACTTTATATAATAACTTATAAGTTAATACTAAGCTAACTAATAATAATATTATTAAAATAAATAAGTAGTAGTATTATTAAGAAAATAATAATAATATAGAAGAAGTAATAATTATTAATTTAATACTAACTAAACTAATATAAAAATAATATACTATTAATTAAAATCTTAATAATACTAACTTAAGCTTTAACTTAGCTAATAAGATCCTTATAATCTATTAAAATAGCTTAATTATTAATAAGAAAGTAGTAATAATATAAATATAATAAGATATTAGAAATAAAGTAGTATAAATAATATATAGTAGCTTAAATAATCTAATAATATCTAAAAATAAAATAATAATTATTTATAATATTAAAACCTATAGTATTATTTTTTAGTATTAACTTAAATTTAATAATATTCTAAATATTAGCCTATATTTTAAAAATAACCCTCTTTATACCTCTATATTTAATATACTACTAAAAGTATTAAAGTTATTATTTTTAGAGAGATTTAACTTACTAAATAGTAATATAAAAGCTAATAAAATTAATAAAATAGAGGATAGTAGAAGTAATAGTAATAATAAAATAGTTAGAAATAATAATAAAATTAATAAATTTTTAGAAGTTAGTATAAAAAGTAGCTAAAAAAGTAATTAATAAGATTTTAAACTAAAAAACCTTAAACTTTTTTAAACTAATAAGAAGATATAAATTTAAGATCTACTCTATAAAACTACTCTTAATATCTAAAAAAAACCTATTAATAATACTAATAAGAGTAATAAGAAGCTCTTATTAATAAAAGTTAGTAAAATAAAGAAGTTAAAAAAAAGCTAAATATTATATTAAATATTATATTAAAAAAAGTAACTAGATATTACTACTTTTTACTAACTATATTAACTTCTAACTTATTAACTATATTTCTTATTATTTCTATTATATTATTTATTATTAATTTTAATACTAAATTAATAACTATTAATAAATCTCTAGCTTTTTTTTACTACTTATAAACTTATTTACTCTTATTACTACTATAATTAGAATTTCTACTTTTTTAAGTATTATAAGTTAGTCTTCTACTTCTTATTAATCCCTCTCTTTAATTTTAATAAAATTATATAAATTTATTACTATATATATAACTTTAACCTATATTTAGAAGTTATACTCTAGAAGACCCTTTCTTAAAATTATAAAAACTTTCTTTAAAACTCTAAATACTTTCTTAATTTTTATCTATAAGTATATATACTATAAATTATAAAACTTTTTTTAAATTATTAATTTACACTTATTATTAAAATCTTTTAAATAATATCTCTTACTATTAAATAATATTATAATACTTTTATAATCTTAAGTAAATCTTAAGTTAATAAAGTAATACTTACTATTAAGTATTAAAAAAGACTATACTAATACTTAATTAAATAAAGTAGTATTATTTATTAATCCTTTAGTATTAATAAATATATATATAAAAATATAATTAAACTTTATTATTATAAATATATTTTAAGCTAACTAACTTTTCTTATTATAAAACCTCTTTTAATTATTAATAGTAACTTATATTAAAATATATATATTATTAATAGCTTTAATATAACTATTAAATTATACTATATCTTTATTAAGTTTAACCTCTTTAGAGATATATATTTAGTTAAGTAGCTTAATAAAATATTTATAAATAATATATATAACTTTAAATATAATAGTAAAAACCTTTAATATAGAGATTTATAATATACTAAATACTAATACTATATTATACTAAATTACTAACTACTTAATAATACATAGAAAAATTAAAACTTTTTATTTTACTATCTAATATTTAATATTATAAAGAAAATCTCTCTCTTATAGCTAATTTATAAGAGAAGTAAACTCTATTTTAGTTAAGTAGAAGATCTCTCTAAACTTAATATTACTATAATTAAAATACTTTTTAGCTTTAATAATAGCTTTTTTAAAGTTATATTAATATTATTACTATTATGCTATTTTAAGTAAAATATATCTATTAACCCTCTTATTATTAGTATAAAAATTATTATTAATTATATTAACTATAATAGTAACTATAAAAATATCTAAGTTAATATTAAAATCTATAGTTTTTTAGTTTATATTAGCTAAAAATTAATATAAAATTAAAAAGTTAATAGTAATAATTACTTCTTAATAATTATACTAAAAAAGCTTTTTTAGTTAAATTTTATATTAACTACTTTTATTTTAAACCCTTATTAATTAAGATACTTTATAAATAAGGGGAGTAACTATATATAATTCTAGCTAGAGTAGGTACTTATTATATAATACTAAACTTATACTAAAAGAAGTATAATATCCCTCTAAAATTAAATTTTTTATTATTTTTTATACCTATATAACGCTAGCTAACCCAAAAAGTTAATTAATCTATAAAGAGTTTCACACCCTTAGTTCAGTGAGAAAGAGCAGTAAGATAATTCAGGGCGGTCCCTGCCTTAGCTGCCGGTACGGTCCGTGCTTAATCATGTCAGTGACCCACATGGATATTCTGATTGGGCAATGGCGTTACTGTTTTTCCATAGCCCCGGGCTAGCCGCCGCTACAGTAGTGTCCGTGCGATTTCATCCAATGGCAGAGCTTGCGCAGCCCCCACCATGCGCGCCTTCCCGTCTCGTTTTCCAGCGCCCGTCGTCCCTTCCCGCTCGCTGATGTCTCTGCTGCGCGGGATGTACCTTGTACCACAGCACCTTCCTCCCTCTGAGTCTCTGTAGCGTCACAGTCGTCACAGCCGCTCTCCCCCTTGCGAGGTGTCGGCAGCCTGCGTTTGTCCAAGCAAACATCACCTCACCACATATTGATTGCTCTCTCGAAGGTCGTCTCCTCCCCCGCACCCGGCAGCGACTCTGCCTCGCCAGCCCGTGGCATTCGAACTCGCACTCGACCTTGTCGCAAGCTACCGTACCCCGCCGCCTCGCTTTTCCCCCCGTTGCGCCCAACGGCTGAAGACCCTCCGTTCGATTGCGCCTCTCGACATGGCACAGCCTTGCCGCAACTTGGTGCTCCGACGACTGCCATCATGATCTTCTGGACTAATAGGTCCATCTGACATCCACTGAGGTACCCTTCTTTCCCTGATGTTCTTGGCCGGAGACCGAAAAATTGACCTCTCCCTTCCCTTCTAGATCTCGTCGCAATCATGGCACCACATACCAAGCCCGCCCAGTCTGCACCGAGAACCCCTAAAAGGCCGAAACATATCGAGCGACTCGCCGAGACCATCGACAAGCTGAACCGCGATTACAACCTCGCCATCGAGATCCCTGACCGTACCCTGACCCCGAGACACTCCGAGCGCCGCCGCAAACACGATGCAGCTTTCGCCCGGAGTGACAAGATTGTGTACTGCATCAGGTTCCACTGCTTCCAAAACACCACTCTTCTCGACAAGATACTGCATGCCTTCCACTTAGAGGCTCGTGCCGCCAGCCAGAAATGGATTCGTTTGTCCGACTGTTACGACCCCGTCCCTGCCACAGCGAGACCACCAATAGCCGAATCTCCGGGAGAGGTGTTGGAGCTTCAAGAGATTCTAATCAGCGTGCTGGAGAAGGCTAAGCCACAGGACAGGGAGGACATTCCCAAGCCAAGACCCTTTGCGCGTGCCCAGAGCGGTCCGGCAGTCTACAATTCCATCGAGGTTCCCAAGTCTAAGAGAAGGCCGCCCGAGGACAGGAAGGACTCCCCAAAAAGGGTCAAAGCTAGCCCGGCAGTTGACGAAGAAATCGACGAAGCTATTGCCGATGCTTTGGACAAGGTCCCTAGCCGTTCCCGATCTGCCAAACCTGATTTGCCCTCAACCAAGTTCGTCAGGGACAATCCTTTCAGCGACGTCAAGCCTAAACCTTTGTCGAGTGTGCTCCCGCCCCTGCGAGAAAGCGTGTATGCTGCTGCCTCCGTCGCAACATCGGCCACCACCAGCCGGGCTTCGCTATTCTCTGCCCCGAATGAACCTCCTCCTAGTACTCAAGAGACAGTCCCAGCGCCAAGCTATGAGGCAAGGATACGAGGACCGGTACTCTCGCAGGAGCCGAGATCTTCTCAGTCGCAAGACCCCTTTCCAGCTTCGTCAGGTCACTTGGATGCTCTCAATGTCTCCTTCACGGAGCATGAGGCCGAGGTGTCTTCAAGGCTCTACACCAAGCCGCCTGGCCGTGTACCCACCCCGGGCGACAGCTCCCCCGGTCTCACGACGATTTACTCGGAGATCTCAGGTCTTGATGACCCCGCCCTGTACCAGCCAATTCTGAGCCCATCAAAACGTTCAGAGCCAGTTGACCTCCAGTCCCGGCTTATCGCCACCTGGCGTGAGTTTCTTGGCCCTTGCCCTTGTCCCGCTCTGGCTACTGCGCTCAACTCATACTGTTGAGCTTCTGTACTGACTATGCCCTAGCCAGATTCCCAGCATGGCTCAACCGGGCTCCTTTTGCCGTCGCGTGGGAGATCACCCGTATCGCACTCCACTGCGGTGTTGACCTTGGTGAAACCCTCATGTCTTACGATGAAACCTGGATCAACTACAATAACCTCTGGAGAACGCTGCTCACACACCCGTCCTTTGCCGGCAAGGCTTTCCCTGAGAGACCAACAACGGATGCTTGGACTGCAGGTCTGAGTGGCTTCAAGTCTCCTCGAGGACAGCATGTCACTTTCACGGCCTCACTTGTACAGACTAAGAAAGTCAAGTCCGGCCCAATCTTCTCTTTGACAATGGAGGCAATCGCGTTGGACCAGGGCTGCCGTCTGCACCGCCGATTTGGATCCGACCGATTTATTGAGCTTGTCATCCCGTCGCCGAACTCTTGGGAAACGCCCATCAATAATCCCAAAATCTCCGAAGAAGTCATTGATTGGTTCTCTTCTCGGCTGCATTATCTCGCCGGCCGGCAATGGCGCGCTTTTTATTCGCGAGACGCAGGATACAAGACGCCTCAGACCAACGTGAGCCTTGGTCCTGACCCCAAGCCCATCTTTCGAGAAAAGATAAGTCTTTTTGCTGAAAATGGGAACAACTTCCATGCTGCTATCCCCATGAGTTCAATGCCTATGGAAACTCCTAGCGAGCTCAGAGTCAAGCTGGAGGTGCGAGACATGCTCGACTGGCTCTTGCAGTTGGACTGCAACGAACATCAGCCGTACCTCAAGTTGTTTGCCCGCATTCAGCTTGGACTCAGCAAAACAACCCCGGTTGTTGTCCTGAATCGCAATCAGATCCGTCACCAGGAGAAAGACATGCTGTCGCCAATCGGAAAAGTAATGAACGACGGTATTGGCCGCATGTCACCTAAGCTCGCTCAAAAGATCAAAGACGTCCTCGGGTTGCAAGACATTCCTTCTGCAATTCAGGGGCGTTTCGGCCCTGCCAAAGGCATGTGGCTTATTGACATTAAAGACACTGGAGACGACTTGTGGATAGAGACATGGCCATCCCAGAGGAAGTGGAATTGCGATTACCTAGATCCAGAACATCGTACGCTCGAAATCAAGAGCCACGCTGCCGAGCCGCGATCCGCAAGTCTCAACATCCAATTTCTTCCTGTCCTAGAAGACCGCGCTGTAGACAAGCCAGTCATGAGGAAGGCCATCGGAGACAGTCTCGTAGATGAACTCAACCGCGAACTAGAAGGCCAGAAAAATGCCATGAAGTACCCAGTACAGTTTCGACAGTGGGTGAACGAAAACTCCATCGGTCGGAAGCAACGCTTGATCCACAACAGTGTGCCCTTTTTGGCCGGCCTCCCCGACTCCAACGAGGAAACGATGAACTTTCTCATCGACGGCGGCTTCGAGCCTTCCAAGCAGAAGTTCATTCAGGATATCGCATGGAACCTTCGTCGCCAAAAGTGCGAGAACCTGAAGAAGAAGATGAGCATCAAGATTCCCAACTCTGCCTACTTTTACATGGTCATCGACTTTTGGGGTGTGTTGGAAGAAAACGAGGTGCATCTTTGCTTCTCATCCAAGTTCCAGACCGAATCCTTTTCCGACTCCATGCTGCACGGGTGCGATGTTCTCGTGGCCCGATCTCCTGCACACTTTGTGAGCGACGTCCAGCGGGTAAAGGCAGTCTTCAAACCAGAGCTTCATGCGCTGAAGGATGTCATCGTTTTCTCAGCCAAAGGGGACATTCCACTGGCCGACAAGCTGTCTGGCGGCGACTACGACGGAGACAAAGCTTGGGTCTGCTGGGAACCAGCCATTGTGTCCAATTTTGTTAACGCCAATGTCCCCCCAAGTCCAGACCTGTCCAGGTACCTCAAGAAAGACAAGACATTGTACGAAGACCTTGTGCGGCGACACGGCAAGGTTGCAGCGGTCCCTGCAATGATAAAGCAGAGTATCGCTTTCAGTGTGCGCCCTAGTTTTTTGGGTATCGCGACGAACTTTAAAGAACGGCTCTGCTACAAGATCAACAGTGTAAACAACAATTATGCGCTGTGGTTAAGCACACTTCTTGGGAACCTCGTTGACCAATCCAAACAGGGCTTCGAGTTTACGGCAGATGATTGGAAGAGGTTCCGCCGAGAGGTGCTCGACAGCCATAAATTTCGAGACTTGGATGAGCCAGCGTACAAGAGTGAGAGTTGGTCTAGCAGAGGGAATCCTGCCCACATTATTGACTACCTGAAATTCTCGGTTGCCAAACCGACCATCGATAAGGAGCTGGAAAGGTTCCACCGAGCGATGAATACGCGTTCTAGTTCTAAGCGCGAGTTGAGGTCTCTTCAGTTGAGTAAAGAAGACAACGAGGAACCGACAGCTGAGTACTGGGATCCCGACTTAGTCACGCCACACGATGAGCTTGATAAGCTGGCGTCGACTATGCCAGTGCTCAAGAAGGTGTTGAAGAACCTGAGGAAGGACTTGATGGCGTTGGAAGAGCAGTGGGGCAAAAGTGTGGCCATGACCAAGGACAAAGACGAGCTTCCTCGCCGTATGCTCGAAGTCTACGAACTATGGTGTGCCATTCAGCCTCGGGCAGACGAGGAGCTCAACCCCTTGGCTACGGCGTATCTCAAACAGTCGTTCAAGACGGAGGAGCACACTACGTGGGCCTTGATTCGCGCCAGTACTGCCTTCAAGTACTGGTACAAGCGAAAGTCCATCCTCCTGTGGCGCATGGCTGGCAAACAGCTGCAGCATATCAAGGCCATGACAACGGCTTCACGTGACAAGGTTCCTGTCACCGTGGTGCCGCACATATACGCGGCCTTGAGGCCTGACAACAAGTTCATCACTCAGGCCGTCTCCAAGATGAAGGAGGATGGCTCCGAATATCCTGGATTGGAATCCGACGGCGAGGATTTTGTGGGCGACGAATAGTGTCCGTCTACACCACCTATGTCTTTTCACCAAAGTCACCTCGGTTGAGACCTTGGTGCCCGACTTTGGCGGCTCCGGTTCGCAGAGAAAGTCGGAATATCTGCCTCATAGAGGTTGAGGCTTGGAATTTTCTAGAGCGTTTCGCATGGATACCCCTTTGTGTTCGTATTTTTCAGCAGGATTTGGACATCATCAAGGTGCCCTGTGGGAGTTTATGGTAAAGAATAGAGCCTACCTGTACCTGCGTTTACCTTTGAGGCGTATTGCATAGCAGCCTTACCGTGAGAACTTTGATGCCCATGGGTCGCCAGAAGGCAGTTTGAAAGCCATGCCAGAAAGGTGGCTTCGACATAATTCCGTTGTGTGGTGGAAGGGTATAAAGTCGAAACTTTTGGGCCACACGCCGCTCACCCTCTTTTCCCTCCTTGTCGAACTTTCAGATCTACAAGTTGGTTCTGTCTCAGTACACCAAACAATCAAATCCAACAAGATGTTCAACCCATACAATATCCAGACGTCATTCCCAACCAAGAACACGGCATCATCCTCTTCGTCATCGTCGTGGCGGAAGGGCGCCGACCCCTCCCAGCATAGCCACGAGACCGAGGATTCGATCACATACTTGGACATTCCTAAGCCCGTCAGCTCCATCATGGCAGACAACAGGCGTCTGAACGGCACCCCGATGGACGCCAAGTACACCAGGGACGAAGTCAAGGCCGCCGTCCGCACCCGCAGAGAGAACAGAAAGAACGAGGAACGCTTGAACCAGCAGAGGAAGGGGATTCTGGCCAAAATGCAATCGGACAACGGCCTCACACGCTACTTCTTCTCCGTCTTCCCCGACGGCGCGCCCATCCCCGGAATCACGGCCTTGGAGGACTGCGTCCTTGGTATTCGCCATTCCGAGGGCCGCAAGCTCGACACGGATATCACTGAGGCCGAGGTCTCCCGTGCCCTGGAGCTTTTCGCCGACCAAGTTAAGTGGCACAACGCCAGTCTCACGCCTGTCGGCACGGTCAGCGAGGAGTGCGTCAAGGGCCCCACGGCGGACATGCTTACGATGCGTCTCGAGACCCAGCGGCTGCGACGGAAGCTTTCCGAGACGACGGAACAGTCTGAGGGACTGGCCCTGCTAGCGCAAATTGATAAACTGGTAGAGAAGAGAGTCCGCGCCACAGTAGAGAAGCAGAAGGCCGCGCTGTATCCCGAGGCGAGTGGCAGCGGAATCCCCAAGAGGGCTACTAAGTGGCCGGAAAGCCGGTTCCAACATCCCAAGACCAGAGGCGGGCACACAAAGTCCACGACACAGGAACGGATTGAGGCGTGGGCTGCGTGGGAGCGCGCCAATGACCGTACGGAGGCGCGGATCAAGCTCCAGAACGAGAAGACCGCGAAGCAATTGGAGTGGGAGTCGGATCAGGAGCATGCGGCTACGCTGAAGAAGGTTTTTACCCCGACCGAGGAGGAGCTCAAGGGGCTCAAGCGCTCCTTGAAGCCGGAGACCGACGGGCTCGCCAAACCCAAAGAAAACCGTGGCGACGGTATGAAGAAGATTATTGAGCACCTGAAGGCCGGTTCTGATTCTTGGTCGGCCGACGGCAATGACGGTTCCGAGGGGCAGAGTACTGCGCAGCCTCTGTTCTATTCGCCCACGAAGGAGATTCTTGATACTTTCAAGAAGGCCTGGAATATGCCTCTGATAAAGTCAATGTTCTCCGAGATGTCCACCCCAGAGACTGACGTCAAGGGAAAAGGCAAAGCCGTCGACCGCAGCGAAGCCGAAGATGAGGCCGCCAAGAGAGAACGCAACCTACAAACCTTCGAGGCTAGACAACGCCAAATGGAAGAAGATCTTGTCGTCGATAACGGTGACAAGGAGCATTTCCTGTCAGATGTGCTCCATGACCCACACTGGACAGGCCGCTCCAACCCGGACAGTTTCCTGAGAGGCCGGCCCCAACGTTCGAACGAGACGATGTTGGCGGTGCTGGGACGCGCTTCGGAGTTGTCGGAGCAGGAGAAGCAGTGGGAGCGCAAGCAGTACTGGGCCGACTCGGCTGCGCAGATGGACGTTCAGCTGCAGAGGGTGAAGCGGCAGCGTGATGAGAAGCTCGAGAGCGAGACTGTTGCTTCGGCTTCGAAGAAGACCAAGACTGAGGCCGACGCCGAGGCTGAGTCCAACGAGCGTGTGCGCAAGAACTTCAGGGCCGGCTTCGAGAAGTGGAAGAGCGAGAACGTCAAGCAGGTCACTTTGGCGGAGGCGTATCAGCACTTGTTCAAGGGCAAGGACAGCAATGCCGAGGTCGACCGTCCCAACACCCCTGACGACAAGGCTGCCGGGAAGCAGAAGATTGACGTTCCTTACGTCGCGAACCCCCCAATGACTTACGCGCCACGCCGTCAAGTCTTTCCCACGTCGGACGTCAGGAATGAGGATCCTGAAAAGGGAGATGCCGTGTCCTGCAACTTCTGGGCTTCTCCAGAGAGGCAGCTTGTCAACGCGGAGACCCGCGACACTTCACAAGAGGATCTCGGTAGTAGCGTCGTTGTTGGTTTGCTTGAGGAGCCGCCTACCACTCGTGCTGCTAAGCAATCGGCCGCGGCCTGGATGCATCAGCGTCCGACGCCGCCCGCGGTGACAAGCGACGGCCGGTCTCAACGCACAAAGGAAGCTTTCCATGAAATGATGAAGAGGATTAAACGCGGTGAAGAGGCGCAACTCCAGCAAGCGCAGACGGCCGCGAAGGCCTTGAAGGACCATGAACAAGGAAAAATACGATCTCGGGGAACTCTTTTTGAGGTTCATCATTCTCCGCCTCAGAACCCATACGATACATCCTCTTTGAAAGAAGCAGCCCATACTCCGGCGGGCCCCAGTCTCCGTCCAGGGAAGCAGAACGGAACGGAGAAAGCTCCGGGGCAGGAGAAGAAGGAAAGTCGGGGCAACGGGGCTGAGATGCCCTCCGGCGACCGTCCAATCTGGACGACCACAAGCACGTGCCCACAGCCTTCACAAGGACATTACCCGACACCCAAGCGGCCTTCGCTCTATGTGGACACCCTTCGCGGGCAGTTTGCTCCCGTAATCGCTGCATCGCAAGGTTCCTACAATGTTCCCCCGCCGGCAACCGTCTCGACAGAAAAGGCTCGAATGCCGGCTTCACCGTTCCCACAGCCCGAGAACCGGAACGAAGCTAAGAAGACCCCCGATCAAGAGAAGAACGACTATATGTCCTACTACAATCTGCGTCCCTGTCTCGACCTCAAGCATCCTACCCCGTACAGACCCAACTATACTTCTCCGTACACGCCCTACTATAACTGGATGAACTATGCTTCCCCGTCGACACTCAACTACGCTGCCGTCCCGGCATTCTACTCTGCTACCCAGCCGACCAGGCCCAGCTATCCTACCCCATACACGTCCAACCATCCTCTCCGGCACACAGCCTGCTATGATGTCCCGCCGCCATCCTCTCTTCCCCCGTCGCCACCCATCCGGGCAGAAACGACTCGAGCAACGACTCAACCCCCCCGGCCTGCTCCTAAGCCGCCCGTCGATTTTGAATTGGCGTACAACATACTCGCCGCCAAGTTCCAGAACTTGCACATCTCCACAGCGGCGACCGTCCGGGCCTTGAACGAGGACCTCAAGAGGGCGTCCACCTCGGTCGATAGGATGATCCAGAAGATGGCGGAGAAGGAGGCTGCTTCTTTAGAGGCTCCTCAGACTAGCTCTGCAACACGTCCAATGTATCCTGATGCGGACGTCCCCGAAGAGGCTGCAGATAGCGTTGCAGAGGTGGATGACGAGGTCGGGCTATACACAGAAGTGAATGAGCCCGTGAGTTGCTGTGGACCTTACGTTGAGGACGATGAGGATTCCATGAACCATTACAACCGCGATGATCCACCTACTTTGATGGATTCTGAGGAGGAAGGGTCTTCAGATGAGGAAGAGTCTTCAGATGAGGACGATGAGGACGATGAGGACGAGTCTTCAGATGAGGATGACTCTTCAGACGAGGAAGATGAGGACGACGATGATTCTTCAGATGAGGATGATTCTTCAGACGAGGACGATGAGGATGAGTCTTCAGATGAGGATGAGTCTTCAGATGAGGATGAGTCTTCAGATGAGGATGAGTCTTCAGAGGAGGATGATTCTTCAGATGATGAAGATGAGGACGATGACGAGTCTTCAGAGAACGGTCAAGACGAATCTTTGGATGAGAACGAGCCTTCGTACGAGGAAGAGCCTTCATACAAGGATGAGCCTTCACACCAGGATGAGGCTGTGATGGAGAACGAGCCTGTGATGGAGGAGCCCGAGCAGGACGAAACCGAGGAGGACGAGCCTGAGCAAGAGCAGTGCGCCGAATGCCAATGCGCCAACGCCTCCTGGTCCCACATCGGCGGCTACGACGACGAGGCCTGCGATGGCGAGGACATGGTCTGCGACTGTGCGGAATCCGACGATATCCCACTAGATAGCTGCTACTGCGTCACGTGCGCGATGCTCCGCGAGTCGGGCGCGGAAATCCCCGAAGAAGTGGCGGTGTCGGATGCCACCTCCGAGACGGAGGGCGAGACCGCGAAGGTGGAGATTGACGATGAGGATTATTGCATCCTGGACGACGAGGACCGAGATGCCGAGCAGGATGATGAGTACGAGTGGGTTGGCGAGGATGAGTTTGCCTAGAGGGCTGTGGGTTCTGTAGGGTTGTATGCTGAAGTTGTCAGGAGATCAGTAGTACAAGTCAATAAGTTTAAACCCACCGATCTTACATGAGTGAACGTGATCGTGGTCGTGACTTTGCTGTGATTGATACCGAAAAGCAGTGAATAGTCAATGCCCACCAAAGCACCCAAATCGAGACACTGCGGTTGCCATGAATTGTTCTTATTGTATTGTTTTTCTACTTTTCCTACTTTTCTGCATGTTTTTGTCGTATCTTGGTGGTGTGAGATGTGAAACAGCTCACCTCATGGTGTTG